CCTCTTCCCTTCAAAGGCCATTGAGAAAACCAGCCAGGGACCGCGAAAAAATTTTTTTTTTTTTTTTTTTTAAAAAAAAAAAAGGGGCTGTTGAAGAAACAACTTTCCGGAAGCCTGGGAAGTGAAGTGATAACACCCCCGATTTGTCCACCTCCAAGGCCAGACACACGAGGGACGCCTTGCCACCCCCTCTGCCGCCATGGCCCCCACGCACACCCATGGGATGCTTCGGCCTTACCAGCCTGGACCTGGCTGGGGGCTGCGTGTCCCCGTAGACCCCCACAGCCCTGCCCCCCCCGAACCCCGGGGGCTGGTGGGCAGTGGCGTGTCCCCCTCATCCAGCCAGGCCCTCGGCCGTGCTGCGGCCTCCCCCACCCGTCAGGCGTCATCGCCCCCAAGGCCGCGGAGGTGGGCAAAGGTGACGAAAGGCCTCGGAGGGGCCCCAGGTGGACAGGGCTGCAGGGGGGACGCAGGGTTGGGTTGAGGCTGCCGCTCGCTTCCAGACTTCTCCCACAGCCAACAGACTTCCAACCCCTTTGGCTACTCCCGGCCTATTTTAACTAGCCACCGCCTGCTTTAACTAGCCACGGCCTCGCCGGGCTTTGGTGGCTGCTCTCCAATCTCAGCGGTGATGCTATCACTTCCCTCCCTCCCTCCTCGTGACCACCCGCTCTCGCCTGAGCTGGTGCCCAGCCCAACTCGCACCAACCCCCCGCCTGCCTCAGTGCCGTCCCTCCACGGCGAAGTGGAGGAGGAGGAGGAGGCGGCTGCAATAGCAGCAGCACCACCGTAGTGGCCCCGGTGGCCTCACACCAGTTGTCCCCCACACGCCGGGGCTGAAGGGGCCGGGTCGGGGTATCAGGCTGTGGGGCCTGAGGAGATGGCGGCTGGTGGCCAACCCACATCGGCGGTGCCTTCCCCTGCCACCCGCACCGAGCGGGAGACCCCAGCCCCTCAGAATTAGTGAGAAAATAAACAAAAGCCCATCTTCTGGGGAGGTGTCAGCATGGAGGTAGCGTGTGTCCAGGCTGTGAGGGGTCAGCCCCTCCAGACCAAGGTGCTCGTCGGAGGTCTCTGTGGGGACCCCCTCCCCACAGCCACAGCCGCACAGAAAATCGGGCATTTCAGTTTTAACCAGAAAAACATTCCTCCTAGTGTTACTCCAGGGTTGCCATTCTCGAGGCAGGCCCGAGAAGATGCGTCCCTGGGCAGCCGCACAGCATACATCTCCCCTTAAACAGAGGAAGAAATTAATATGCCAAGCTTAACATTTTAGCATTTGGCCTGGACTTTTAAATTGGCATTTGTTAAACGATGAGACAGCCACGTTTTCCAAAATGCACGTAAAGGCATAAATAATTTTCTAAGTACCGATTGGAGGATGAGTACAGTCCAAGATCAATAGTTTTGTAATTTTATTGATAGTGTAGCATCCCTAAGGTAGAATTCAGATGGAGTTTATTACAGCTTCTGAAAACGTCAAGTTACTTACAAGTGATATTCCTTTTAGGCCTAAGTGCACATCAGTAAAGACTCTTATTCTTTTTATAGAAATTGTTTCATAAATCTCTTTAAATATATTTAAGTACTATAGGTTTGCATTTTAATAATACACTACTTTTGTGCTTTTAAACATCTAAGGTGCCGAACAAGAATTGTAAACTGTGAAGTAACTACTATGGGAAAGATTAAGTAAAGCATTGGAGGCGGATGATTTTGACAATAAAGAGGGTGTATGTGGTGAGTGTTCAATATTTATTGCATTTAATATTACAAAGTACTATTTATTGTTTTCAGATTTAATGTTAAAAGCAAAGCCTGGAGAGCAAGCTCTGCTGTATTATGTACTTACAGGTACACCTGCGACAAAGGCTCTCTGTAATCATCGCTTGATGTGTGTAACACCATGTTAGTAATGGCATGCCATTTTATTTAAAGTTCATCTGTCAGCTGTGCCTACCTTGCAAATATTTTTTTGCAATTAAATGATTTTGCAAAGAATCATGGACATTTCAGCTCTTTGCAGTGGTTTACAAAGTGTTTAAATTGTGCTCCTGGAATATATATCCTATTATCTTTGAAATTATCTGAGTTTACATCTTTTGTTCATTATAAAAGCATATGGATTGAGGGAATATTCTGAATGAATGAAAAACAAATACAGTACTGTTGAATAATCTTGTGGGGTAGATTAATCTATAGCCTCGATTTCTCTCAGGGTGGGTTGCTGTGGCAACCGCCCCAGCTCACTTTAAAATAATTTTGTAAAGCTCACTTCAAGCGCTGCACCCAGCGTGGGCCAAGTTTAAAAGCAGCCAGACATGGGAAGAAGTGTTATACTGTGTTGCTCTTACAAATAGGGAGGTGGTTGAAGAGAGCGAGGCGTGGAGTGGAGTGGGGTTGAGCAGAACTTTAAACAGAAACCAAGCCACCCCAGGGTTAAGATGCAAAGGAGGTGGATCATTTCATAGTAACCTTACTGCTTTTCAGTTTAAACGCCATTAAAAGATGTAAGCTGGCAATCTCATTTCTCCTAAGGGAAAGATATGTTCTGCATCCACAAAAGAACAAAAACGGACTTTGATAATCATCTTCAAAGGAAATGTTACCTTGAGATAATCACACTTGTAAGGGAAAGAGATACTTGGATACACACTTCGCTCTTTGATAAAACTTTGGAGATCTGATTTTGTAATTATTACATTTTGACTGATGTCTCGTTTAAAACATTGCATGCCTCAGGTGGTGGATTAAGAAAAAAATAATTTTGTCGGCAGACCTACACATGACCTATGGACAGCAAAAAAGAGTAGATCTGAGTCTCTTGCCAGAAATTTGAAAAGGGTGCATTTGTGGAGCATCAGTACAAGCACAGACACCAGAACAAAGGTTTTTTTTTTTTACTGTTTGAAATTATTCCAGATTTTAAATTAAATGTAGCAAAAGGGAGAAAAAAATCTTAAACACTTCAAAAGATACCACATAAATTCATGCCTTATCTAACCCTGAGATAAGCAGGAAAGCCTGATTCCTCCCCTTATATCTGTTTGTCCATCTAGCATCTGAACCCTGTTTTAAAAAATTGAGGTGTCCTTTACATGGGTTTGATGAATTGTCCTATGACAAAAACTTGGCATGGCTTTAAGGTACGTGAAGGTCACCACTATTTAAAGATTAGGCCACAACTGCCCACACGGAGGTATAGTAGATGTGCTAAGCTCCTGTATAGTTTTATTTTCTAAAAAACTTGCCTACTCTAACAATTGCTTTCACGATACCACGGTGCTCATGTTCTGTCTTGACAGTTGAAGGTCTGTGTTACCAACTAGCCAGAAGCCTGAAAACTTACATATCCTGCACAAAATAAAGCAGATGACAGTCATTTTCAATTAGAGCACAGAAGTGTGAAGTCCTAACACCGTTTTCTATTTTTGCCTCTAAGAAAATACGAATGTTACTGGGTAGTTGGGTGCCGTGCTGGGAGCCCAGAATTGTCTGCAGAAGAGGCACAGCGAGGGTACAACCTGTGTAACTGTTCCATATTTCTTTCCTGCTGCGCTTCATGCCAAACCTGAGGCTGAGAAAGTATTTCTTCCTCAACGTTACTCGGGCTCTGCTGCTGACACTGCTGAGCATATGTGCCTCTCACCACCCGTATACAATGTGCTTGGCTCGTGTCGGGCTGCCGGGTGGCTCCGGGCACATCAGTATTACTGTGATTGTTGTGGCTGTGGGTGCGTTTATACCATCTAACTGTCTGTCCGTCGAGAGTCCGTCCACCCTCTGCCTGAATCTCACCCAGACAGGGCAGGGCGTGATGAGACCCGAACTCAGGGAGGGGTGTTATTCTCTAGAGATCTGTGCTGAGAGCAATCACAGGGTGCTTGTTAGAGCTGCCCTAGCTTCGTTTAGCTCTGACCGGTGCTTTGAGCATCCATGTTTTTAACAAGTACAGTTGGATTGAAAAGGCATTTATTCACTGTCAGATACGGAACTTTGGAAGTAGGTCAGTGGCCCAATGAGATGTTCATAGGGGAAAAGACTGCAAGACCAAGGGCTTGTATTAAAATAAACCGAATATATAGTTATCACTGTTGTTTGAATTCAGTCGTTCGGTTTTATCACGCGTGCTGTTCCTATTTCCAGTGCCTTAATCTATCATAAAAATAATGGTCTGTGCCTTTATAAACTCCCCTGCTGCTCTCGAAGCATCGTAAAAGTTGTCTATCTACACAGAAATTAAAACAAGTATCTGCAAACTCCGGTTTTACTCACAGATTATTGCATGTGCTTAATTTGGATTCAAGCTCCCATACAGTGCCGTCCTTTCAGTCCGGTTTTAAAAGCAAATGAACCTATTAAAAAAAAAAAAAAAAAAAAAAAAAAAAAAA